GATTATGATGACAACAAAAAAAATTTTTTCAGTGCGGAAACTAACATGTGGGCAGCTCAAGAGGGAACACTTCCCTAACGTTGCCCACAAGGGCGTGGTTGAATTTGGATGACTAAAAGGCTTCTTCGAGCCGCCACTCGAAGAAGTCTTTCTTGTATAGTGCGAAGCTTGCGGCAAACTTACCCTTTACCAGTAGCCGCTGCAACAGTGAGACTAGTGAAGAATGTTAGGTTTACTGGTAATGGTAGTTTCTGTCTTTCTCAGATGCTCTGAACATCCGAGTATAGATTGAAACACGAAATCGAATAAAAACCGTATGTAGTACAATGTGAACTAGTACAATGTGAAACACTTGAAAGGGGGGACACATATAAATAAGATGAGACGAAAATTTCTACGGAGCAGCTATTTCGAGAGAAATCAAGTCGGAAACAAAAAAAGCTACAGTTTCTGTACAATTTCTTCTTCGCGTTCCATTTTGTTTCTTAGCCTCGCTTCTGCGTATCTAAAAGTGTCTCGAGTGCACTAATCGCGCCAGATGAAACTCATACAGACCTTTATATCGCACAATTCGTTTTACAGTGAGGAAAGTACTGTAACTGACTTGAAAATAAGTATTTAGCATTGTGAGAAGCAGATTAAACGAAAGCTGTAAGCGACTTTCATGCTGTTGTTTTTTTCTAATGGACTAAAAAATTTTTTTTATGGTAGATGATGAGCGATGGTTGAAATCCACCTGTGCTGAATGCTGACGAAAATGGAAGAAAATTGGCGTAGCCAAGTTTCTTTTTTGACAGATAAATAAGGTGATCTTCAGAAGAAGTAAAAAAAATGGTGAGAATGCAAAAACAGACGTTTTGATGATGAGCTTTGGCAATTTATGAAGTCGCTTTGCGCTGGCAAATGCAAGGCTTTTTTTTTCAAGAAAATGTTGCTGTTTTTTTTCGAAGATTATTATGAGAACTGTTTTTGGATGTTGTGAGTAGATCAATCAACCATTCATCGAAAAAGTTTTAATTAATAGAAGTTCCATATAGTCCCAATTTCGAGAGCTCATTGAAATCCCTGGTATTCTCTGAAAATACCGTTTTATCCGAAAAAAAAGTTTTTTTTCGGTAAGTATGCCTCTCAATTCTGCCAGCAGACAAACTAGATTGAATTTACGGGTTTGGGTTCAAAAACTCGCACGATTCATACAAGGTAGCTGACGGTCTCAAGAGTACTTGACGTTGCTTCGAAAATGAAACTTGAGTAATGAAGTTGAGAGATTGTTCGGAACGTCAAGATTTTAGCAACTCATATTGATAAGTTCTTTCATGAACAATGAGAGCGGTTTGAAATTCTATTTATAATTTGCTAGCAAAACATACGAGTTTTGGAGAATTTTTTTTTTGAAAACTAGATCGCTGATCTGCATTGAAACATAGAACTACTATTTTTCCCAAACTCAGATTTGCTTAGCGAATCGCAAGCTGCTTCGTGAAGCGGACATACTGAGGGCTAAGATGTAAAGATAAGATGAGGCTAAGATGTAAATTCTATCAAATGAGATGCAGAAAACTAATTTTACTAGACTCTTGGTTACGGTCAGCTCAGTCGACAAGACAAAACTTTGAACCTGAACGCACTATTTTTTTAACAGAAAGGAACATTACCTAATTATAGAGCTCTACTCTGATACCTTTCAAAAGACAAGTTTGGTCAAAAATGAGTGCAAATCATCACCTCATTTCGATCGTCTAAAGCATGATACAGCGAATTCTAAATCTCAAATTTTATAGGATGCAATTTTGCGTAAGATTGCCATCCTCATGTCGTGAGAAAGAAAACAAAAATAAGTGAGAAGTTGAAATGGTTGTGCAAAAGCTGATCTTCTGAGAATAGTAGCAGTTTTTTTTTGAAGCTACTTCGCAGTTGCAAATAAGTGTTTCTTCGAAAAAACTTTTTTATTTTTGAAAATAAACAGCGCAACTTTTTTTCCCTTTTTTAAGGTTGTGAGTATATCAAGCAACATCCAGTAAAACATTTTTCAATAAATAAGAGTTCCATATAGTCTCAATTTCGGGAACTCATCAAAACTCTTGGTACCCTCTGAAAGTACATTTTTTTGGAAATAAAGACTCATTTTGGTAAGTTTGCCTCAATTCTCTTGGCAGACCAACCAAACGAATTCACGGGTTAGCGAATTTGCTGATCATCGCGATTCATGAGGTTCCTTTTTTTTCAAATCCGATCTAAAGTCGTGCTGATATGTCAATTTGAGGTGGTTGAAAGCAAGTCTAGTACAATACTCTTCTTCCACAATTTGCCAAAGACCCAGCGGTGATGCTTTGCGTTAAATTTACTTTGATTTTTTTTTATCTCGAAACCGTTATGTGCAAGGAGACGAAACAAAAAAGTAAATAAAGGCTAAGAAAAGTTGATAGTTGATCCGTATACCTTGCTGCTCGTTGGCAAATCCTCAAGTCATCAAAATACCTTCTTTTTGAAGTCGATGGCAGTGGTTGATGGTTGCGTGTTCCTTGGTTGCTCGTTGACAAATCCTCAGGTTAGTAAAATCATTCACAACTGCCGCAAACCTCTGGTCCAGGCATTCGTCGATGGGATACGAGGTTCAAAGGGCATTGCCGCTGTATGTGCCTACTTCTGGCGGCCAAATGTCACTCATAGTTGAGTGATTAGCTATAAAAAATAAGCGCTGGGAGAATAGCCTTTGGAGTGACCGCGGGCGATTGAGTAGCCGTTGGGAATTCCACAGGCAATCATAGAAAACGGCCAGTGAAAGTCTTTTCAGGCAAAAGTTAATCACAGTACTTTTTCTACGTGTGAAAACTTGATTTGGTGGGGCTCACAGTGCTTTTTCCACTTGCGAGAGTCAAAAAAGTACTATCACAGTGGTCTTTCCACTAGTGACAGTTGAAAAGGCAAAAAAACTTGGTTCACAGTGCGTTTTCCACGTGTAAAAACCTATTTACATATGTACAATGCCGGCTGTGGCGATAGAGTCATTGAGTTTTGTATGTACGCGTAAAAAAAATCTGGGGTTTCCCAGGTGAAAAGGAAGGAAAATATAAAGAAAATATCAATGATTCACTGCTCCGGGATATTACGGCTCTAGGAAATCCAGCTCGCGGAATTCACGGCTCGCGGATTCTCAATCTAAAGAGTTGGACTCATCTAGAAAGATCGCGTCGGGAAAATCACGGTTCGCTTTTTCACGGCTCGGGGGATCACGGCTCGGAAATAGCAAGAAAAAATGACTGAATATTAATGTTATTTTAAATGAGGTTATTCTATGAATACAAACTCAAACTCATCGCCTGACTCAAAGAACTAGGGAAGGAAATGAGAAAATGAGATAAGAAAGGAAAAAATATGAGAAAAATAGCTACCACGTAGAGACGTAGGAGATGAGGGCTGGTGCCGGCGGTGGGAGTTTGCAAAGACCTGACCTAAATTAATGGTGATTAAATTTCAATTTTTTTTTGATTCAGAAAAATAATGTGCGCAAAATGATTGATTCAAAAAAATGTGAGTCATAAAAAGATAACAACTCGGGACCTCCATGTTAAAGGCAGTGTCCGGGCAAAAACTCGATTTTGAGATTTTGTGCTTATACGGGCCTATTCGCCATGCTGAATCCGAAAATCCACATTGGAAAGCGCAAAAACAGCGAAAAAGGGCTCTAACACAGGAGGGAAATCGGCAGGTGGGCGGGGCTTTCCCCAGTGCGATTTCACGCTCCCAGCTCCCGGAGCGATTTTCTCGATCCCGCTAGCCGTCCTAACATCGCTACCGGTCAAGTGCGAATGATTGACTTGAAACCGGAAGCGAGAAGGTCGCTCCGGAAGCCGGGAACGTGAATTCGCAGTGGGGAGGACCCCGCCCACCTGCTCATTTCCCTCCTGTGTTAGAGCCGTTTTTCGCCATTTTCGCGCTCTACAATGTGCATTTTCGGATTCAGCGTAGCGAATAGGCCCAAGTAAGCACAAAATCTCAAAATCGAGTTTTTGCCCGGACACTGCCTTTAAGTTCAGGAGGTGCACTCTCCTGACTCGAGTCCTTCACCCTGATTGTCTTACTTTATATGAACATAACATTTATGACTAGAATCTTTATTATATATATGTTAGAAGAGGGGAAGGGAAACCGCCGGTCACCCGGTTAGGCAAAGCTCATCTGGAGTTGCTGGGCACCGCCCAGTTGGCGTGGGGACTGTCGGACCATCTAATTAGTCTGCGTCTCGACAACAGGTAGAAGCCAATGCATTTTATCTGGTACTTTTTGCAGACTCACACAACACCAAACTGGAGTTCTGAGTTGGTGACAGCCGGAAAAAATCGCGCCTCTTGACCGTCTCCCAAAAAACATGTACTGGTTACCTGCTTTTTGATTTCCTTTTAAGCTTACGGTTTTCAGCCAAACTACTTTCTCTTACGATCCCCTCCCCATCTTAGTTGCCCACTTTACGACCCCCGTTGCGACAGTCGCATCACACGCTTGACCCTGGTTGTGACCCTCTAATCAGATCAAGCGAAGCGAAACACGGGAGCTCGAGTCTTTCGGCATAAGCATGAATGAACGGTATAATCTATATGTGATTACGAATGCAATATGCTATGATGTGCTTGAGACCTTCCCTATCAGGTCTCGCTATACACCCCTGACTTGTCTCCCACACCTGTGATCTTATGATAGCTTTGCTTGAGTAAATCTTAATAGGCTCTCATCAGTCGAAGCGACACTGCACTTTCAGTATATCTTGGCCCGTAACTACCGAGTAAAAACAAAGTGTAGTGTATCATTCCCATGTCGTTCTCTTCGAGCTTACACCTATGCAATGTGTGACAGCAAGACTGTAAGCGTGAAGCTGGAATATGGTTTGTTCACTTGAAGAGAAGTGTCGTAAATTGATTGGTATCGTTCCGGGACCAACCACAGGTCGCCGAATCTGCGCATCCGCGCGGCTGTCTACATCGGTTCATGCTGGCCGCAACGTGGATGTTTTACGCTGTAGTTCTAATTTTAGTTCTACGATAATTGCCAGTCTTCCGTCACTTACTTTTGCCATATGGGTACGTACTACTAACTAATGAATTTGCCATTTCAGATCGCTATGGAGACCCAAAGCGACAATCTAAAGGCTCTTCTCGGCGTAATCGCTCGAACTGAAGCTCTTGGAAAGACGGAATCCAGTTGCGAAGGCGTTCGGTAAGCCGATCGTCATTGTTAACGAAGATGTAGCATCGTAGGATGCGTGCAAGGGTTCTAACTTAGATAATTAGATAACTTAAATAATTTGATATATTCTAAAAATCTCAGATGTTGCTGAAACAAAATTCGTTGTGCATTAGTGTTTTAACCTTCTGATTTCGTAAGCTACATTCATGCATGTTCGTTCTCTTTTGCGGGGCGTAGGGAAAGGTTATCATTGCAAGAGCGTTATCATTGCGAGAAGGGCGTGAATGCGGCGGTCACCCACCTTTAGAGGACGGTATGTTGTCGGATAGATTCCACCTGCGCGGGACAGGTATGGTTCATCTTGAAGTCGTGACGACGAATTTGACTGCGGTCTTTGCGCACACGGGGGCATTAAACACCCATACAAACAGGCGTCAACTCAACGCCCAGCTCAGTTACTTCGAGTGTCTGAGTACTATCATACGTAAGCAGAAAAACCATTCGAGCAAAGATATCTAGAACGCCATCGTCGCGATTTTTCGGATGCTTTATATCTGTAACTCAAAGGCGTAAAGGCAGTGGATCCGCAGATGGACCCTAATCAGATTTTGGTAGCATTGGGTAGTGGACCCTTAAGTACACCGTAGCCCCCCCCCCACTCTCCAATTCATGCGTTGATCCCTGAAAATGCACTTCAAAACTCCACCCACTTAATGTGAATGGTGGGGCTTATCAGTGTCGACTGCATCAGCATCTCGCTCCCTCGCGAGATTCTGCACCTTTTCCGCGAACATGCTCTCCAATTATGTGTAATCGTTTGATGCTGCGCCCCTCCCACGCTCGCGATGGGTATCAGAGAGGAGGTGGCCGCGCGGGAGCGGGGAGCTGGTGCACCCGACACTGCAGTTGATAAGCCCTGTGTAGTCCTCCGCCACCTTGACTGCATACTCCCTCAAATGCTTGAGCTTCAAATATGTTCCCTCAGCTGGTCTAGGCACACAAGGTTGAGGTGCGCCGTAAGCATCTTTAGCATGGATTTATTATCTATGCTTCTGTGTCATTCGTACTTAGTCGCTTGATTTAGTGATATTGAGAAACTAAGAATTCGTCTACCTGATGGTACGAGACCGCGCCCCAAGCACACGTTTACTGACAACATGAAAGTTCAGGCGGGTTCCTTGCCAAATCCATTATATTATACATTCTCCCACCAAGACTGCGTTTTATCACAGTTTTTCTTGCAGATCTACGAACTCAAGAAAAGTCAGAGTGAGAAGGGGTCGAATTCCTCTACCATTAAAAGTGGCGCTGCGGTAATGACACCTCATGAAATTGCATTTACATCAAGAGACGTCTATATGAGGGAGGAGACTGCCAAGTATGCTTGCGCCTCTTTTCTTTATCATCGCTTGGACCATGGTTTTTTTTCAGGGTTGAATTGTCATTAGATGAGCGTATATGTATCTACCCCGGACAGAAATTCACAATTTGTCAAAATGGATCCGTTCGCAAAGGTTACATTATTCAGGCGCTTCCATCTAACACAGAAAAGACTCTGGCGGTAGGCATATTATTCTGTTAAATTTTCTCATTTCAGACTTATGAAAGTGATCTTTAACAGGAAAAGCTGATAGAAGATTGTGAGTTCATTACTGGCGAAAACCTAGCTGTTTTGATTCCACGCGAAATTCTAGCCAAGCTAGAAGCAGAACCTGACAGCTCGCATCCGGACAGCGACAATGTGCAGAGTAACGTTTGAGGAGATAACACGAGTATGTCTTTGTGGTGTTGTTCATTATTTGTTCCTTGATGTATTGATAGCTGTAGACATGGTACTATGGAAGACGTAGTGTAGCATATTCTGTACGTTTCCTCACATATATACCTCGTCGTTATATGAAGAATAAACACTTGAATTTGTTCAGTTCCGTGATGACATTCTCTACTCTATTTCCTAGATGCGCCAGAATTTGCCCACGGGGCTATCAAGGTGGTGTCTCGCTTGTGCACCAGATAACCTTGAAATACAGTATGGTGTAATCTGCAATGGATACTATGCCAGTCACACCCGTAAGCGTTTGCATAAAGCTAAAGTGATAATTGTGGCAATAATAGTTATAAAAATCTGCAAGTGAGTTTATTCTTGTGAATAATTGAAATAATTTTTGAAATTCTTTACAAATTTATATTAGTCTTTTAAAAAAGTTTTTTTGGGTATGGCTGCCGCCACGCCTCCTTTTTCTAGATTTTAGGGTTCGTGAGCCCGCAAAAATTTTGAGAAGCACCTCAAGAAATTTTTTGGAGTGCGTGGCTAATGCCACGCACCTTCATTGAAAAAAATTATCCCCCCCCCCCCCGGCGGAGATCCTGCGACCGCCACTGATAGATAGTTACTGCTTTGTAGTGGCTTCAGCTTAAATTTACAGACCGATCGCTTCATTGCCGCAGAGTTAAGGTAGGCTAATGAGGCTTCTGAGCTTTAGGGATCACATTTTGCTTACAAGGGAAAGTTCCCAAGTCAGCTCGGTCAACCCGGATCAGTCTTATATCATCGTAACGGGCTTGAAACGCTGATTCCAAATCTGCTTTCCTTTTCTGCGGAGCAACTTTCCGAGGGAAGTTATGAGCGTTTAAATGTCTAAATTTGTCGTGTTCAAAGTGGCTTAAAATCAGTTGAAAGCTGTAAAACAACACCTAACGAAATTTCATTGTCTGTGTTCCGTCCTTGTAATCAATATACTCGATACAAAACTGATAAATCACTTTTATGTGTTATTGTACAGGTTTCGCTAATTTTAAGCCATTTAAAACATGACAAATTTAGACATTTAAACGGTCATAACTTCTCTCAGAAGGTCGCTCCGCAGAAAAGGGAAGCAGATTTGGAATCAGCGTTTTAAGTCCGTTAGGCCCCGGTCAGACTTCACGCGACTTAATCGTCGCGACCAAATCGCCAAGATTTCCATTCATTTTCATTTCAGATTCAAAAATTTCGGGCTGGAAAAGTATCACAACCGAATGCAAGTTGATCGACATGGAATGATGTTGTAACAGTTGTCTCGTCGCGATTCAGTCGCGACGATCAAATCGCGTGAAGTCTGCCCGGGGCCTTACGGTGATATATGACTCATCCGGGCTTGGCCGGCTGACTTGGGAACTCTTCCTCGTTAGAGGAAAAACTCAGCAACCCAAGAAGTTCATGCTAGTAGTATAAAAACGCTCTTTTTTAACACGTTGGCGACCGCGCCAGTTTGGGCGAAACTCCCACTAACGTCCATCGCGCATTCGGCCCGTGCAGCGCGTATGCACAAAAATATTATCTGGGAGCCTTTTCGACGCTCATTCATAAAACATGCGCACTTTATTCAGAGATATATGTATACCACAAAGTGTTACCAGGACTTACACAAATCAAGGTTTTTGCATCGATTTTAATAAACCATGCAAGGGCTATATCTGAGTATTCCCTCTTTGAGAAAAGCGTTGTAATACCAGGTGTTTTTTGCTGGATTCATCCTGGTTTGCCTTTAAAAAGCTACACAGAGTTTCCACCTTCTCGGAAAAACGCAATCAGCATGTATTTACCACATCAAAAATGGAGTGATCACCCAAACTTGCGGTTCAAACTTCTGAGCTGCCGCGATGCCCTGTGTTCTACAAGACAATCAGGCCACCAGTAGTATTACTGCATAGTAGTTGCATTGAAACTTTTGATTACACCTTAAAACTAGCGTGCATATGCGAGGATGCATGAAAACCCTAAACGGGAGTCAGGGCATGCATACGTGCGTATGCACAAGGTCGTCAACGTGTTAAATGAAAAAGCAATTCACGGTAATGCTTCCTCCAAAGCTCAGGCAGTGTTGTATACCGCAACCAACTGTTTTGTCAGAGCTTCATAATTTAACCTTTCTAGATTTTATAAATGCGTACAAAAGTAGGGTAGTGCGTGAAAACTCTGTTAACAACTTTAGATTTCTTTGGGTTTTTCTTAATAAAAGTTATTTTATAAATGACGCTGCATGCTGAAAGTTCCTACCATAATGCTGAAACAAGAATTATGAATCTCTTTACACTGTTAATCTGAACTGAAAACTAGTTCTAGACGTAACTAAAAAATTCTTTTGGGGCAATGGAGTTGTTGAGAACCAAGCTCGGGACTACATTCCATGGAGGTCATGGGAGTAACGTGAAAACATGTAAGCCGATGTGATACGAGAGAGAGTGAGAGCTGGAATACGGTTCCAGAAAGTTTGGAGATGAACATCTTGGCCGTATAGAAACCACTTGCTCTATAGTCCAATGTTCAAAATTGTGTCATTAAAAATGATCAGAGCGAACGAACCGTAGGCCCAGTAAACACCTCAAGGCAATAAATTTTTTCAAAAGCAAACGGATGATCAACGAAATGCAACAGTCCGCAGCCCAAGAATTCGTTTAGCTCGACTCAAACAACGAAAATCATATCTGCATACTTGCTTGTATTGTCACTATTTTTTATCTTTGTGTTGGCTGAACAATCTTAAATTGACTTTCTTGGGCAAAACTTTCTTTGCTCCTATTCTGTAGAGCGCACCTCTATCGTACAATCTCATCAATTCGGCATTCGGAAAACATTCCAGATGTTTCAAAAAGCTAAGGGATCGCTGTTACCGTATAGCAGAGCGCAAAACAAATGAGTCATTTTCTTATGCTTCTCCTATTTCTCGGCCCCTCCTTCGATAGAAATGCACAATCGAACTCGTATCTACTTTTCGCTGTTTAAAGAGTGCTTGATTGAGCAAAGTTTCTTCGAGAGAGTGCCCTTCACTACATATCAGTGGCGTACCGAGGGGGGGGGGGGCGGGGGAGGGGCGGGGGGGGGGGGCGGGGGGGGGGGGGGGGCGCGCGCCCCCCCCCCCCCGAGAATGGGTCGCGAAATTTTTAAAAGTTACTTATATGGGTTATAAAAATGTGTAAGTGACTTGTTTATTTTTGTAAATAATTAAAATAATTTTTAAAAATTTTTAAAAATTCAAATTAGCCCTGTAGAAAAATTTTTTTCGGAGTGCGTGGCTAACGCCACGCACCTTCTTTAGAAAAAAATTTTTGTCGCGCCCCCCCCCCCCCCCGAGCCGAAATCCTGGGTACGCCACTGCTACATATGTACATTATCATTCGCGGTCATCTTTTGTACAAATCCTTGTCTCAAAGAAGTTGTCGTCTGCATAAACTAGTCCAACCATTTTCTTGCACTTTTGTCAAATGTATAACTAGAGTCTCATATAGTCTGCAGTGAAGCACTTTCATCTGTGTATGTATATAGTTTGTGTTCAGGCGGACTTCCCGTCGGCGGGACCAGCGGTCCTCGGAAGTTAGTATGAACACGAACTGTATATAAAACATCTTGTTTTGACTTCACAAGTCGAATTTGAAGTTATTTCTTGTTTTTGTTTTAGATATTTCAGTATCTGGGAATTCTACAGTCGAGTAGAAATTCCGCTGAACATAGTGTGCTCGCACTGCAGACAAAAATGTAAAATTTGCGCGTGAACAAATAGCTACGCCGGTGTTGCCGGTCAACTGCTCGCGCAAAATGCCGGCATTATTGGGTGTGTATATGTTATGTTGTTTACGTATATATGTTCCTATATGTTCACGCGCAAATTTTAACCCATTTTACCTGCGGTGCAAACACACTATATTCAGCGAAGAATCTACTCGACTGTATGCTCAGGTCGCTTCGCATTTGTCTGTTATGGCACTTCATTCCATGTTTTTCTGTACCCGCCAGTGTTGGAACGCCTGTGTTATTGTCAAACCAAGCTGTGTTTTCTTTTTCCTTTAATGTCAAATTTAACTCTGTAGAGCACTACGACATGTTATTTCAGCGCTGCGAGTGTTATGGCGTCTCAAAGCGATGATTCACATACGGCCGACATAGTCGCTCAAATTGAGCGATTAAAACTTGAGAACAAACTGAAGCGCCTCTTTTCCAGGGCTCATGGTAGGACGTATTGTTAATATCAGACTTAATTTATGAAATGATGTTGGAATTGTATATGTAGGATCGATGACAGCTACGAAAAATAACAGTGACAACACCATCGACTTTATTCAAATATATGATCCCTCGCAACATGGATTCCAGAGTGGTAAATCCACCACAACGGCCATGTTGCAGTGTCTCAATCATTGGACACAAAATTTTGACAAAGGATTTATCACTGATGTTATCTACTTATATTTTCACCAAAGTCTGTGACAAGGTACCACACCCTAAATTGTTGGAACTAAGGATGGTAGGCATTCAGCCACGCATTGTTGCGTGACCAAGGCCTTCCTCAAATAGGTCACTCGTTGTTCAAATCTGTAATACTTTTTCAAGGCCAAGGAATATGTATGGCGGTGTACCACCACAGGGCGGAGTATTGTCTTCAGTGTTGTCCAATATTTATATTCATGAGCTTCCTTCTATTCCCAGGTTAAGGGGTCTCCTGCATCACTTTTGCGGATGATTTTAAATTATACAATGAGGTGAAGAATGAGCTTGATCACAGTTGCAAAGAGCCTTGAACGAAGTTCATGGATGGTCGCAAAAGTGGTCCCCACCTATCTCGAATGAAAAAAACCAAAGTAATTAATATTACTCAAAAATTCCAATCTCAAATATAAGTATTTGCTTGGGGAGTTCTACCTTGAGGAAGTTGATACAATAAGAGATCTGGTCTTCCAGGGCAGAAGTGACCTCACTTTTGATGATCACTGTAAATTGATTTTAGCCGTAGATCGATATGCAGTTTGATCAGAGCCTTCACGAAGTATCTATTCTTTCGAAAGCATATAAATCATTCATTAGGCCCATGATGGAGTATGGAAGTGTTATATTTTATCATTATTTGCGCAA